TGCTCAAATATGATGGCGAGTGGCCTGGCCACTTCATCCGCCAGTTCCCTCAAGACCCGCGAATGCATCTCATCAGGTCCCATGGACTTGTGCACCTTCAGATTCCTTAGATATTCTCAAACCTGATCTTCTCCTACAATGGGTGGTTCTGCATTCTCCCAGTCCCTGCCTTGTGCAACCTGGGCAGTGTGGCTCAAGCATTTGCCAGTGAAGACTGAGGCAAAGAAGTCGTTGAGTACCTCAGCCTTCTCCATATCCTGGGTAACCAGTTCACCCGTTTTGTTCCGGAGGGGACCCACATTTTCCCTCATCCTCCTTTTCTCACTGACATACCTATAGAAGTTTTTCTTGTTGTCCTTGACATCCCTGGCCAGACTAATTTCTATCAGGGCTTTGGCTTTCCTAACCTGCTCCCTGGCTGCTTGGACAGTTTCTCTGTGTTCTTCCCAGGCTACCTGCCCTTGCTTCCACCCTCTGTAGGCTTCCTTTTCTTGTTTGACTTTGCCCAGGAGCATCTTCTTCATCCATGGGGGCCTCTTGGTGGTTTTGCTTGACTTGCTCTTTGTTGGGATGCATCTTTCCTGAGCTTGGAGGAGGTGACCCTTGAATATTAGCCAGCTGTCTTGGGCCCCTCTTCCTTCCAGGGCTCTCTCCCATGGTATTCTACCAAGCAGATCCCTGAAGAGGCCAAAGTCTGCTCTCCTGACATCATATAGAATCTCTTGATGTATACACATAAATGTGTAACCATAGTATTCAAATATTTGTTTACTTGCATGGGAATGAGCTTTTGGTTTTAGTAGGATCAATCCCATAAGAGAGAGACCTCAGTGAAATGGGAAATGTTTACCAGCTTCCCTACTCGGGTTTGAGAGTTGACCAGGGCTGGCAGATGGTTTTGAATTTCATTTTAAAATTAATCAAATAATTCTGTGAATGATGGAACAAAATAGTTAAATGAGAAGCAAAACTTGTGTGGGCATCCTCCAGTGTTAGTGATATGTTTTAGAACCCGTTACAGCCTTTGACTTATCGGAGCAGCAATTTGTATGTTTTTTCCTCAATCTGTCTGCCTGTATTCCTAACACATGTAGGAATTGGAAACGTAAGAGATCTCTACAGTTGTCAAATTTGGCTAAAGCAGGCCAACAGCTGTATATGTTGTGAGAATGCTAATTGTGCAATAACAAAAATTAAACTTAATTTCCTGCTTGAAATGGTGCAGAAGGTGTAGGAGCAATGAATATGTTCCAGAATGGTAACATTTACATATTTTTTTTTGTTGTTGTTTTTCTCCCCCCCCCCCGAGCTAAGATTTATTTCTTTTACATTTCTAAATATGAAAGTGTAGAAAAAACAGTAGCACTCAAAATAAGGAGAGAAACAGAATATGGTGATGTGTACACACACCAAACCAGAAGAAAGTGAACTTAGTTCATCTAGAATTCCATTCACAATCACTGAAATGATTCAATGATGAGTTATAAGCAGTATCCCAGGTTTGAATTGATAGCGGACTGCAAATCATGGTTGCATTTAAATTCAGCATCCAGTTGTAGCTGCTGTCAGAGGAAACCCTGTATAAACTTCAGCTTGTTTGGTATCAGATCCAAATGTAGGTGATTAGCACACAAAACACACTGGGTTTTATATTGCGCTGCTCTGAATGCTTGAGCAAGGAGGGTACCATTGCTGAGTACATGTTGACAGTGTCAGTATGTTAGACCTGCCTTTCATATGACCACGTTTGTGTAAATGATGTGAAGCCCTCAGGTTCACAGCAGCAGTTTTCTGTTAGACATTTACTTCCTGTAAGTGGGATAGGTCAATACAGCCTGAGTTCTCCTCGGCAAGGAGTGTGTGCTAATTGCAAGTTAGCAAGGAGCAAGAGAAAGTAGTTAGAAGACCACAATATCAAAAGCTTTAGAAATAAGCAATAAAATAACTGTGCTGTATCCTCCCCTTTGTTTGGTATCTGTGAAAATTCTGACACAGCGCAGTTTTTGAGAAGTCCATGCCCTCGACCAGATGTACAGTCTGTAGCAAGTGCCTGTTTGGGTGTCTCCCTGTTTTTTTCTTTTGGCGTATATGCTTGATCCTGAGATTCTTCCATTTCCTAACTGATTTTGCTTCAGGCTGTTAACCACAACTAAGTTCACTGTGATTATGAAGGTGGTTGCTTTTATTGTAGATAGAGTAATTTTATTATTAACGTAGTTTTCTTTTAATGGTTATGACACATGTTTCTTTCATCTCTGGGATTTGCCCTGGCTTCTATTGTCCCATTCTTAAAGTCAGCTGACCTGTTAGGAAATATAACTTGTTTATTTATTGCTGTAGCTTTTAAGTGACTTCTTTTTTCTTTTGCAGGGAATTCACTGTTGAAACTGAAGGGAAAACTTTTCAATTAACAAAGGACATGGTTACTGTGAAGAGATTTCAGAAAACATTACATGGTAAATTTGTATCTTTGTTGTTCAGTCATCAAAAATAAGAGGCAGATCAGGATGCACTTTGAATGTGAACTGTATTAGTTGCATTGTGCTGTTAGTATTGTACAGTGGCACAGGAAAAAGACCAGATGTTATTTCTGTGAAATTTGACAATTTAAGAGAGTTGGAAAGCTTTCACACAGCAGTAGGATTTCAGTGACATGGATGCAGGCCTGTCTGCCCACTTCTCGCCTGGTCTGTTCAGTAACCCACGTAATAGACTTTGGGTGGCGTATTATATTCATACTGCTTCAGTTGCACATTCTAGGACTTAGAAGGTCCCACGTGATGCAGAGAACCAGCTGCTGTAGTGATGGAGGAGCTGGGGAAGGTGCACCAGCTTTGGGGGCTTTCATCTTCAAGTCCATTGCAGTGCAGCAGATGGGTTGTGGCAGTCTGTGGTTAGGGCTGTGAGCAGATCTCTGCGCTCAGAGCTCATCTTGTCACTCCACTGCCTGGAGTCAAGTCTTCCGGCATCTGCCAGCTCGCCAGGCTGCAGTGCTGACCAGACTCTTTAAGCTGACAAGTCCAGTCAGTTCCTCTGGTGGTCGATAATTGCATCAGCTTTGGTCAGCAACTGCATCTCCACAGAGCTTTTGTCCTGATGTGGGAAATGGGGCTAGAAGGTAACTTTCCAAAATGCATGGATTTAGTTCCTCAAAGAAGTCTTGTCTTTCCAGCCAGCTCTGTAAGCGCCTCACCCAAGGTCGTTTGGGAAGTCTTTGACAGAGCTGGAGACTGAGGTAGATTTTTCCCCAGTTCATACTGTAACGAGTGGATCATCCTGCCCTAGGTTGGGAATGTGATAAATGCTCCTAGGAAGGAGTGTGCAGAATATATTTGTTTGTGCAGCTGCTGAGCCTTTGAAATGTCCACGTGCCTTTCACTCAGCACATGCTGCTGCTGTGCCAGGCTTTGCTTTGTCACAACTTCAAAGAAGGAATCAGACTCGTAACTGTTAGTGATTGTCGTATTGCTGGGGCCAGCAAGTAGAACCCCAGTTGCTGGTTTTCCTTTAAATTTGGTAGTTTGCCTCTTGCTTGCAGACAGCAGCCAAAGCTTATGGTTTCCCCCTCTCTTGTCTTGAAAACTGGTTGGTCAATGCAAAAATAAGACTATCCTTTAGGAAGGTAAAGTCCTACCCCAGCTTAATTGAGGAGGATTTGCTCTCTAGGCACATAGAGTGGGAGGCAAGATAGGGTGCAGTGCCGGAGAGCTGGATTCTGCCCTTGATTTTCAAAAGCAGCTGATGCCTATAATTGTTGTTTCTTGTCCAGTTGCTGTCTGGGCTTTTTCTAAAAAGCTGCACTGTCTGAGCAGGGCAGCTGTCCATTGAGCTCCTTCCTTCCATACACAGAGTGGAGAAGGAGGAAAAAGCCTCTTTGACAGATGTGTGGCAAGGACTGGGGAGAATGACGGGTGTATAATAATGTAGCACATCACGTCTTCTGAGAATTTTTGCGAACACTAACTAGTTGATCCTTGTTCTTTCCCACTCTCGTGATACATTGCAGGGGGATGGAGAAGAGGGAGGGGAGCAGCGTTGAAGCAGGCAGCCGAACGACTCGAGAATACGGAGGGTGTCTTTAATGGAATTTGAGTTGGATCTGAAGCTCCATGCTTCTCTGCTCAGACTGCTGGGTACTGAGGCCGTGTCTGTACATTAAACTGAATGGGCCAGGGACTGAGCATTACCCTGCCATCGTTCAGGCTGTTTAATTGCTAGCATATTCCCTGGCATAGTTTTGGTCTATGCCAAATAGCACTCTCCCAGACAATGCCTGGACATAGTTTGTGGCTTGGTGTGGGGCAGAGACTGTTCCCAGTCAACAGTTTGGATGAGGCTTCGCTGTTGTGAAGTGGAAGCGGGTTTATCTGCGTGGATGCAAGTTGTGCTGTGCTGTTTGCTCTCGGGGCCAGAGAAGGGGCCCTGACTTGTTACTTGCAGCCTAAATACATTCTGTGCGTGGACTAAGTCCAAATGTCTACTTCAGGTATTTGTATTTAGAGCAGAAATGTTTAACCTCTTATTTCCATGTGCTAAGCTACATGTAATCAGAACTTCTGAGCAGAAAGGCAGCTTCAGTAAACACATCTTTTTTTGTGTATAAATTCTTCTTTAATGATGACGTGGGTTCTTTTGTATTCCAGTGGAAGAAATCATCCCAAATGTAATTGAACCCTCATTTGGTATTGGGAGGATCATGTACACAGTGTTTGAACACACATTCCACATCCGGGAAGGAGATGAGCAGAGGACGGTGAGCTTTTCTGTGGCTGGGCCTCAGCTTAAAACCAGCTGCAAGCATTTGCTTTTCCTAACATCCAGGGGGAGGACTAAAATAAGACTGCACAATACACAGTAGAGATGGGAAAACCCAGGTGGGCTGTTGAATTTCTGGTTTTGCCAGCGTACGTGTCATTTATACATGTGCACTGAGAGCATTCTGGGGCTGTGTGTGCATGAGGTCCTCACTGTATTACTGGCAAGGGGGTGAGAAATTCCTCCTTCTGGATTCACACTTGGCAATGACCCATCACTCAGAGAAAGGCATCTCTTCAGTGTTTTATTTCCTCTCTCTCTGCTGCTTTTCCTGGAATCATCTTTCTGTGCAGCAAGATGGACAATAGACTAACTGTTTCCTCAGTCCCCCATGAAATGAAATCCCCTTCTCTGATTCTGGGCATCCCTAAAATCTTGGCCTGAAACTTCACTGTAGCAGAGGCCAGAGGGAAGTGTGTTACATATAGACTGCCAGCCTCTTCCAGCCAGTGCCCAAACTGTGATGCTCTGCACCATTGCTGGTGCCCCACAGGAAGCTGGCTGTAACGTTGATGCTGGTTCCTGTTCGTTGTTTCTGGCTGCTAGACTGCAATTGTAGAAGAGAAAAATAACAGCGCTCCTTAGTGTCTCTGGTTGCCACAGGATGTGATTAGTGGGGGAACAGGATTCAGGAGCCCAGAGTTAGGATGCAGTTGGCTTAAATCACAAACTGCTCATGAAGTCTTAAAATATTGGACTTACCTTCCTTCTAGTACTCATTTACTGGGCTGCTCTGTATTGTGGTGTGTCTCAGTTGCATTACTTCTGTACCCTTACAAGCCTTGCTGATTGCCAGGAAAGATTTTATATTTTTTTTCCCCCCTCCTTTTGGCACATTGTTTTTTTTTCCTGAGAGTGACTGTGGAGGGTTCTGAAAACCTTTTGAGCTGCATATGCTCTGTGTGTGTAGTCTCTGTGGAAATCAAACAGGGAGTGAGATGATTGTGAGAACTCTTCCCTTTCGACTGTGCGTAAGACTAAAACTCCTGAAAAAACCCTTCTACCCTTCATTTTTCTGTAATTTAAATGAGGTTCACTTTCTTCAGGGAGGGAACTGGTAGACCTCTTCTGGTGGGAGGTAACATTTGGCTGTGAGGAGGGAAAGGGGAGCGGACGACAGCTGGAGAAAATCAATCCTGTGTCAGCAGTGTGGAGTGTTACTGCTGGAGCCCTGAATGCTAATGTCTTACAGAAGGACAGTTACTCCCCTGGAACAGTCACCCTGCCTCCAACCTCAGTCAGAGCTTATTCTCACCTCCTAAGAATCTTCCCTAACCATTAAACTGGTATTTATTTGTGCTTTTTCTTTTTTCCTTAGTTCTTCAGCTTCCCAGCTGTTGTAGCACCGTTCAAGTGCTCCGTTCTTCCTCTAAGCCAGAATCAGGAATTCATGCCTTTTGTCAAGGAATTGTGTAAGTGTACTAAGCACTGTGGCTCCAATGGGGATGTGCACTGGGAAGGGAGTTTTCTTCCTCAGTGCTGTAGGGAGGAAATAGCATCGGGATCACGTGGGTCCCTCACGTGCAAAGGGAGAGCCATCGAACTAAAACAGCTGAGGTGGTTGGTATCAGTCAGCTTTGGGTATCTATCAAACTCTTCAGTCTAGCCTGAAAAAACCCAACTCCCTGCCCTTCCCCGTGTTGGTTTGCAGTGTAAAAGAAATTTCTTTTTTTTCCTTCTGTGTCAAAAAGAAATCTTTCCCACTGCTTAGGAGAAGCTGTCGGGAGCAGTGGGTTTTTGATTTGGTGGTTGGGGTTTTTTTGCTTGTGGTTGGTTTGGTTTTTTTGAATAAAGTTCTTTTCTTTGCTCTTGTTGGCCAGTTAATTTATTGACTTAGCCCCAGAGCTGCTGAGCCTCCAAGCATTCTGTCAAAATGCCCACTGGTACCATCTAAAAGAGAATACATGAAGGACAGGAACATAGGCTGCACGTCAGACAGTGCCTTTTGCTGTTGGCATCAGTTCTGCTCCGGACCTCGCCTCCCCATGCTTGGATGTGCCCCTAAGGCTGGTGTGTTTTTGAGTTCAAGCAGAGTTGTGGGACTGTAATGACAGGTGGAAGAAGTTGGTGGCTTTGCTCTTTGGGTGAGAGTTGAGCAATGCAATGTGGAGAGCTGTGAGAGTAGCCGTGTACCTGCGGGGTGGGATTGAGCTTGTAGCCTTGGCAGGGAGTGGAACATTGGATCTTCTGTCAAAATAAAAATTGGGATCTCTGCTGCTTGAAACCAGGATGCATGGTGCCTCACTTCAGGTGGTGCTGTGATGTTGTGGGAGGTCACTGCTAGGATCATGTTGCCTGCTAGGTATGTAACAAGTCCTTGCGATCCCTCCCTTCTCTGCTTCTTCCAGCTGAAGCACTCACCAGGAATGGTATCTCTCACAAAGTGGATGATTCCTCTGGATCCATCGGCCGGCGCTATGCCAGGACCGACGAGATTGGCGTGGCCTTCGGTATTACAATTGACTTTGACACCGTTAACCGGACGCCTCACACTGCCACCCTGAGAGACCGCGACTCGATGCGCCAGATCCGAGCCGAGGTAAAGGGCAGGCAGACGGGTTTGGCTGCTGACAGAGCCACATCTGTTTCTTACGGGCTAGGGCAGAGCATTAGCTGCTATTTCCGATCCAGGAACGACTCTGGGCTATGTGGGAGCTGCCTCCAGCTCTCGTAGGCAATTTAGCTATTCTGAGAAATCCCCAGGGAAGAGATACTGGTCAAACAGAAGATGCTGGCCCTGCTGCTAAAGTGAGAAGAGGCTTTTGTTTTCCTGGGATGCAGAGGTGTTGATCTTTCTTGAAAGCCATGCCTTGTGCTGATTGTACTGCTCTTTAAAGTGCCTCTTTCCAAGAGAAGGCTGCTGAGTAAATGCATTTACTGGGTTGTGTCTGGCTTTCAAAGGCAGGGCTCCTCTGAATCCACAGGCACCAAAAGGCAGAAGGTCTTTGCCTGCTGCTGGCTAGCAGAGCACAGCACAAACCTAACTCCTCAAAGCTTGCTTCATGCTGGTGTTGCCTGTGCAGCACCGGTGAAGCTGGTGAACCGTTGTCCCAAAGCCACACCTACCCTAAACATGCTCTGCTAGTACGGCCGTAATACAGAGACTGGAATGGCAAACCTCTCTGTCGGGGGTCTCATCGTCTGTGAGCAAAACCTGCTCCGAGCCATGGACATGCAGTCTTGGCACCTCAGTCATGCCCTTCTCTCCCCGCCCCCCCCAGGAACACAGCTTGGCTCCTGAAGGAGGAGGGTTGGTGCTGATCTGCCACCCAGCTGTTCTAGCTGTGCTCTGTACAAAAGCAGCCGTACTGCCTGGGCTGCTGAGCTGGCTGTGGGTTTGGTTCAGTGTCACGGGCAGTGCCAGCTCCTCAGGGCACCCATCTGTCTCTGTGTCACCTGGGTGACCTCTCACTGCTGAGTAGCAGAGATGAGACTTTGCAATCCTTCAATTTCTGCAAATTTTCTAGGTTCTAGCTGATCCTTCCCACCATGACAGTGTGCTATGAAGAGCAAAGAAAAGGCAAATTATCAGCTGCTTTTGTGCTGCTCATCTCTACTGTGTCCAGTTCTGGGCTCCCCAGTTCAAAGAAAGGGAACTACTGCAGAGAGTCCAGAGGAGGGCTACAGAGATAATGAGGGGCCTGGAGCCTCTCTTGTATGAGAGAGCTGTTTAGTCTGGAGGAGAGAGGACTGAGAGGGGATCTTATCAATGCTTATAGATATCTAAAGGGTGGATGCCTAGAGGAAGGGGCCAGATTCTTTTCAGTTGTGCCCAGTGACAGGACAAGGGGCAATGGGCACAAACTGGAACACAGGAAGTTCCAGCTGAACATGAGGAAAAAATTCTTCACCTTGAGGGTGACCGAGCACTGGAACAGGCTGCCCAGAGAGGTTGTGGAGTCTCCTTCTCTGGGGAGATTCAAAACCCACCTGGCCGCAATCCTGTGCAACCTGCTCTGGGTGATCCTGCTTTAGCAGGGGGGTTGGACTAGGTGATCTCCAGAGGTCCCTTCCAATCCCTATCGTTCTGGGATTCTGGGATTCTGTGCTACAGCAAATAGGGCCTGGCTAAATCCTGGCTTACACCATCTTTTGGATGTATGTATTTTATTTCCCTTCCAAAACTGTGACATAACACTACTAGGGATGCTCTGGTCCACCACAGTGTCAGTTGCGTTTCCCTCATAGGTCACCCTGAATAATTAAGTAGTCTTTGCTCCGATGACACAGGCTGTGATTTAAGATGTCCTCCTAGTTAATGGTTTTTCTTCCCCAAAAATGATATCGCAGGAAGGTATCTTGCACCTGTTGGGATGTAAAAATTACCCATGTTCCTCAAATATGCAACAGAGCAACATGATTCTGATGACTTCGTGTTTCATATGTCTTTGTGACTTTGCCTGCAGATCTCTGAACTTCCTGCCATCATTCGTGACCTGGCGAACGGTTATCTAACTTGGGCTGACGTTGAGGCAAAGTATCCACAGTTTGAGGGACAAGAGACTGGCAAAAAGGACACAATAGAGGAATAAAGAAAAGGACCTGAAGTAAAATCCCATCAAATATCCACTTTTTACTGGTTATGTTAATATGAAATAAACTTATCATGTATTATTCAAAGCTGCATTGTTTGTGCACACAGGGACTATTTGTTTGTTTTGTTGTGGTTTTTTTTTTCCTCAATTGCTGCCCGAATTTAACTTTAAAAACTGAAATAATTGCAGTCCAAGTTAAAGGTGTTATGAATAAAAACGCCATTATGTATGCCTGCTTCTCTGTGTTCATGCAGCCTTGTACTTTCTTCAGAAATGTCTTTTCTAATTTTTTTTCCCCCCCTCCTGCTTACGGCTGTGGGTGTTACCGGTTTATTACAGCCCCTTGAGAAGGCAGAGACTGGTACACCCTTTCATCTGGATCCAAATCAGCTCGGACTCCTGTGCAAGACGGTGCTAGTTGTTTGCCCTCATGTTTACGAAGGGATGATCAAGGTGTGAGTCCTTTCACCATTGTGCAGTGCTTCAAGCCGCTACCTTAAGAGATGGTTTTGTGCTTTCTTTTGGCTGCAGATATTTAATACCTGTTTCTGCAGAATTGGGAGCATTTGTATGTAGGAGAACGGGGGCGAGGGGGGGGGGAGCGGTGAAAAAATCTGTTTGTGATTCTTGCTCTTGCTTGGCATGATTGGTTTGCTTGGCTCAGGGGGGCGAGCAGCTGAAACCGGAGATTGCCCTAAGCAGGTGAGAAAAGAGCCAGGTTGGGGTTTTTTTTCCCCCGGGCCCTGGGGAAATTCAAACTCCTGCCCTGACTGTCTTCCCACAGCTGGAGCTGGGAATGGCACCTTTGGTGTTGGGGAGCACTAACCCCTGCCTGACCCAGGCTTGTTAAACTTGGGTTTCAGGCTCTCATCCCACTGAAAAGCAGAGAGGGAAGGTCTCGTCTCCTTCCATGTCATTTCATCCCAGCCTGCTCAGATGTCCTCTGGGTGTCAGAGAGGGCTCCAGTACTGCCATCACAGGGATTTCCATCTCAAGGCTAGAAACCTCTGCTTTGGAGGGAAGCAGCATCCTCCTCCAAGCTTTTGCTTGAGCTTAAAGTGCTCATTTAAAGACAAGTTAGAAAACATGAACTCGGGCATTGTGCTGGATGTGGCTGACAGGAGGTCTGCAAGGATAGGTGATGTCCTGGGCTGGCAGATTGGGTGCTGTGCAGCTTTGGGGAACCTTGACAGCAGGCATGGCTTTCAGCCGGGGCTTCTCCCTGCCCCATGCCCGGCTGGCTCCCAGGAGTGACTTCTGCAGCCCTCCGGTTCCGTTTCTGCCACCGGCACGTGGCTGCTGGGGAAGCCGAGCCGGGAACTGTTGCACCAGCTGAGGCTTTCGTATGTTTGCAAGAGCTCTCTTGAAAATGTGACTGCGGACAATGCTGCTGTGTGAAATGAAATGATGGCCTGAGAGCTTTAGCCAAAATAATAATAATAAATTTCTCTGAATCATGATGTATTAGATACGAAATAAAACAGATGCTCTTGAGAGGCTCTGATTGCATGCCCTAAAAAATTCCCAAAATTCCCAATGGGAGAGAAGTAAAGTTGGTGTTTCAAGGAGAAGAACCCGAGCAGCGTAGCTGCAGGTTACAAGGCACCTGCCTGCGCCTGCCCCTCTGTCCCTGACAACTCAACCCGAGACCTGATCCCCACCTTTCTTCAGCCCTGGTGTAAATAAGGCACCTGCCACTGCCGGCTCCGTTGGCTGCAGGTGCATAAACCTCTTCTGAGGAGCTGTAGTTTAGTTCTGGTGGAGCTTTGCATAAGCAGGTCTGACGCTCGGCAAAGCAAGGCTTTAAAAAAAGGAATGGGGAAGAGGATGCTTGAAAACATCCCTTGATTCCCGTGACTGGAAGCTGCTTTCTCTGGGCTAGTGGCTGATACCTTTTCCAGATTGGCAGGCAAACAGTAATTAGTGAACGTTTCTGAGTAATTTCCTTTAGTTTTAGCTAAACTTCTGCAGAAGTGGGTGGACTGGAGGCACTGGAGAGGGAGGGGCAGACACAGGTGGGGAGGGTGAGGGTTTCCCCGTGCCTGTAAATCACTGCGCTGCTGATTTTGGTTTGCTTTGCTGGGCTTGGTTGCATGAATTCATCCTGGTGGTGACAATGGGCATGCTGTCACCACTTTCAATCATCCTTTTCCTCCTCAAACTGCATCCGTGAGTTAAACGGGCAGTTTTATGGGTCTGCCTTGTGCCCGAAAGGGGCTGATGGCAGTTGTTTTCTGGCCTGGAGCAGGGTGAATGCCCCAGGGAGTCTCTTCGACCTGGGGCCGCTCCAAGTACCTGCAACGTGTGAGCCTGGAGATGTGTGCCCATGGGTCCCTGCTGGGAGGCTTTCTTAGCCTCAGTTTCCCCTGTGCTGGGGCAAGCGAGGGTCATCATCTTTGGCAAATGCTCCAAGAAGCACAGAGTTAATGTAATAAATTAAGCCTGCTTATTAATTTGAGTGAAACACGGACTAGACAAGCCAAGGTGCCTGCGTGCCAGGCGCTGTACAAACCCAGCCAGCAGCCCGTGGGCAGGGAGAGAGTACTGAAGGGCAGGCGGGGCTTTCCAGAGTGATCAGCGCTTTGGGGTGTCTCTGTTTTGGAGGATCCGAGCGGGCCCTGAAATGACTTGGGGTTTGGGCTGCACCGGAGGACCTGCCACGTGTCGGACCTGCTCGCTCCCAGCCGCTCCTGCTGCCCATCGCTGCCTTTGGAGCAGCGGCTGGAAACTCGGGTCAAATCCTTTTTGTCCATCCTCTCCATGCTTGAAAAGGTAATTAAGCACCTCCATGCTGCCAGCAAATGCATCAATACTATTTCCTTAATGTAAGAACAGCTAAAAGGTTGCAGCCATGCGTGGGAAACCATCACCAGGGAACTAATTAGTAAATTGTGCCTCAACTTCACCGCTTGGCCTTCAAAGAGGAGTGTTAGCCCAGGACGCAGGTAACCCCTGCGTGTGGTTTGTAGTTAAAAACCTTGTTATTTAAACTACAAACAAGCCCTGGAACCAGCTGCATGGTATTAAATCCGTTCAAGTGGAGACCTGACCAACTCTAGCCACAAGCGAGGTGGCTCCTGCCGTTGCAGAGGGCGAGAGATGAGGACAGTTTTGGAGGAGGTGCAATCTGGAGCCCAGGCAGACGGATGCTGATGGTGGCTGCCCTGGCCTTGCCCGGCATCCCTGGACAGCTGAGCTGCTCATCCCCTTCTTAGCTCGCAGCCCGCGTCGCTATGAGATGTAGCCAGCTGAACACGTGCTCTTGTCCTGACTAATTTGCACAAAGTTCCTTGCTCACCTGTGTTTCAAGCAAACAAATAAAAAAGCTGGGAGGTATCTGAGGACATACTTAATTAAAAATTTGTACGGTGCAGATTTTCCCTGCTGCTCCAGCAGCGCAAAGCAGCAATTTATCAGGCTTTACAGTGTCTGTGCTGATTCCTGGCTGCTGGGAGCTGCACCCATCAGCTAGCGGGTACCAAATAACCAGGTGCTGTGACTTTGACCAACACTTGATCATGCAGCGATCTTCAAACTCCTTCAAAGGGAGCTGCAAAAAATAGCTCAGAACAGACTGTGTAGTGCCACTCTGCTTAAATTCACCCCGGGGAGGGCTCTGCCCTTGGCTTGCTGGTGCTCAGGCACTGAGGAGCTGATGTGAGCTGAGCGGGGTGCACCCTTCAGCAAGCAGCACCCGCTTCCCAGAAGAGGGTGCTGTCAGGCAGAAAATAGCGAGAGCCAGGAAAGTATTTAGACACTGAAACAGTATATTTTATTTTTAACTCTTCTGGGTGTTTCAGTTGTGCTGCAGCCCTGGACCTCCAGCACTGCGTTGCTCTGATGCTGTTGTTAATTCAATGGCTGAAAATGCTGTTGCAGCCCAGATTTTAATGCAAGTGAGAAGACGATCCTAAGAAAGTCTTAGAAATGTAGTTTATAGTAGTTCATCTTCAGGGGAGTGCATAGCTGGGGTGTAAGAGTGAAGTTCGGATCCCCTTGCCATGAGCTTATGGAGTTGGGGGGGGTCCATCTGACGAAATGCAATTATTTACAGCACGGACGGCTGTAGCCTCACGCGCAGTTTCCGTGATCAGCCGGGGCAGGATTGGTCTCAGTCTTAAGCGGCCATTGCAAACACGCGTCATGAAACCGCTGGTTTTGCTCGGCTGGCGGAGGGGGACGCCGGGGAAGGGAGCACAGCCAACGCCTGAAGGTATGGCGTGAAGCTTGCCTAGCCTGCGCGTTTCAAAAATCCCCCCTGATAAAAAAAAACCAAAACAACAAGCTGAAGGTGACGGGCTTGTCCTAACAAAGACGGCTCCAACAGATGTACTTTGGAAATTCAGCTTAAACCTTTTTGATTCCTATCTTTGCTCTGACCTGCAATTCACCTTCTACGCCAGATAGGCAGAGTTT